AAAGAAAAAAGAAAGAAAGAAAGAATGTAAACATAAAAAATGAGAAAGAAAGAAAGAAAGAGGAGAAGAAAGAAGAAAGAAAGGAAAAAGAAAGGAAAAATGATGGCCGAAAAGAAAGAAAGAAAGAAAGAAAGAAAGAAAGAAAGAAAGAGAGAAATAAAGGAAAAAGAAGAAAGAACTGACGGATGAAAAGAAAGCATGCAACCGAAAGCAGAAAGAAACAAAGGAGAAATGTAAATTTTAAAAAAATGAGAAGAAAGAAAGAAAGAAAGAAACAAACAAACAAACAAAAAACAAAAAAAAAAAGGAAATGAAGAGAAAGAGAAATCTGGAAGAAATGTAAAGCAACGCATTCAGAAACATTCAAATTATTATTATTATTATTATTAATGTTAAAGTGAAGCTGAAAGATGTATTTCTTAGATCAGGTACAGGAATTTCAATTACCATCTATTAGCAAAGCATTTTCTCCATAATTAGTTTTAAAGATTTTATAAACAAGATAATACTCTGCCTCTGAGTCGCCGTCTAATTTTTCAATGTTAATATTACAGGCGAAGTCGTTGGCAATATGTCTTCGCAGGTTTTGAGGAAAATAGTCGGCAGAAGTGCTTGACACATTAAGCGGGTGAATACCTTACTTTTTTGCGCGCGCATGCTTCTGAAAGGTGAAGAAAATTGTTGTAGTGATTTTCACAACGGCTAAATTGCATTGTGTTAGGAAGTCGGCGTATGCTAATCTTTAATTTGTTGCAAAGAAAAGAGAAACAGGAGACTTCGCAAGCCCAACTCTTGCTGTTGTACTGTCCGCTGTTCTCTTTTTTTGTACCTATTTTCACCCCAATAAACATAATAAAGCTACTAAGATGCAAGAGGTTATTAAGTGTGAGATAATATGAGGAAAGAAGCCATTATTATGGAACGAGAACGACAAGAGAGGAATTAAGACAACTGAAGAAACGATTGACATTGTATTTACATTTTTGAAGATCAAATTTGACCGAAAAGCAAGAAGCTGGAAAAGATTTCCACAGGTGAGAAGTGCAAAAGAAGAATCTGTTAACGTAGAACTTACGGCGGATATTTTCTATCAAATATTTTATCATATAATTTCCCTAATTAAACCTCATAATGAAATCTCTGTCTTTCTCCCCCTATCCTTTCTTTCTCCCTTTTAATATTAAAACATATTCCTCTCTCACTTTTTCTTTCGCGACATAAGAGTTCTCATGTTTCAAAAACCAGAGCCGAAACACTCAATATAATTATTAAAATTAAATTGAATTAAGTTATCAAGCGCTGTTTCATCCTCAAGCGAAAATTTTGGAATAAACAATTTTGAAATTTACGCATCTTTATAAGCATGTTCGTTCGCAGAATTAATTACTATGGAAACGATGAGGGTTTCGGCTCTCGTATTTGAAACATGACAACTCTTATGTAGCGAAGGAATCATATTTTTTTTTAAATAATTATAATTTTAGCTCTACTTCTGTATGGAGCGCTGTTTTTTTTAGAAATAAAAACAAAAATACTAAAGAACTCCGGGCTATTTACCTAACGTGTTCTTTCTTATTTTTCTACATACATGCACACACACACACACACACACAGATATATATATATATATATATATATATATATATATATTTAAAATAGTGATTATACATAATATCCAACGTCCATAACACGACTTGGAGTTTCATGCAAACGTACAATCATCAGCTGCAAAATGCAGTCTGAGCGTTAGAGCGCTGTGAAATTCGCGTTCTTGTGTTTATGATTTAAAATTCTGTATTAAGACACACGCACACACACACAACCACACACAAACAAATATATATATATATATATATATATATATATATATATATATATATATATATATATATATATATATATATAACGAGGCACTGTGGAGTAATGGTTAGCGAAATCGGAGATCTGAATTCGAATTCCAGTCTAGGTCATTATATTCACTTTTTCTTGGGAATTGGTATGAATCCTCTAGCAGGACAGAATGGATAGCAAACGGCCTTGAAAAAGGTAACTCTGAATTTAAAACCGACCTGGACAGTGTCGGACTGTGTCAGGCTATCTTGCCTAAGAAACACCACTTCTGCTACGGTTGCAATACACGTGGTGGCTATATGACCCTGACGATCCTATCTATCTATCTATCTATCTATCTATCTATCTATCTATCTATCTATCTATCTCCTTCTCTCTCTCTCTCTCTCTCTATATATATATATATATATATATATATATATATATATATATATATACTTCGACGCATGAGGGTCAAGCACATCAGTTCGCAGGAAACTGACATCCCGACAACAGCACATGAGATTTGATTATAGTGGTGAAGGGTTCGTGCAGGACCATCCACACTTTTTGAAGGGCCGAATACAGAGACTTGGTGCACTACGTGGCGCAGGTTTTGAATTCAGAGTTGTCCTTCTCCATCCAAGGCTATAGAACCCAGTCTGTCCTACTATTTACCCATAGCTGGAGGGAGAAGTGGATTCACATTTAAGTGAATGTAATGGATTCGATTGTTATTCGAATTCGGCTCTCCGATTCCTCAATTCAAGCCGCTATCCATTACTCTACCGCGCCCCCCTCTCTCTCTGTATATATATATATATATATATATATATGTGTGTGTGTGTGTGTGTGTACCAATCATTTCTACTGAAGTGAGGCAATTAAGCCACTAAGACGCAAGGATTTACTTAGTATTAATGAATATATGAAATAGAAAGAAATATGTAAAAAAAACAATAAAATTACCTGAATTAAGAAGAGAGAAGATGACGATTGATATTTCTTATTCTTTTTTAAAGAACAAAGTTGACTTGAAAGCAAAAAGCCAGAAAAGAATTCCACAAATGAGAAGTGTGAGAGAAAATCAATGTTTAGACAGCAAATCCTGGTCGCCTATATCCGATTACCACCTCTGGATGTACTCCTGTTATATCTGTAACCCGGATGTTATGTTTCTCTTGCCAGGTATTTTATTTTGAGGTGTTCCTGTTGTATATCTCGAGATACTTGACAAAATTCAAAGAATGGTCTATAATTTAATCGATTCTGACATGTCATATTGACTTCAGTCGCTTTCTCACCAAACTGACGAGGCTTTCCTCTTGTCTTTACTACAAATATTTTCATGGTAACTTCTCTGATGCTTTTTTCTTGTTGCCCTGACTACATGAACTTAATCGTGCTACGAGATTAGCATCTTAGAAACCATCCCTTTGCCGTTGAAATAGGTAAATGCAAACGCCATTTCTGCTCGAACAGTTTCTTTTCTTGCACCTTCTATATGTAGAACTCCATTACGTTTACTTGATTAACTAATAACTGCAATCTTCAAACAATTTCAATACAATATCATCGCCATCTTGTCTTTCTTAATCCCGTTCATCTTTCGGCCTTTTCTCAAACTCCTCTATTCTCAATATTCTCTTTTACTTTCATTATCTGTATTTCCTTGCGTACTAGGGACATTACTGCTTTGCTTGGGGTGAAAAGATTTTTAAAAAAAGATTTAATTGGGGTACATTGATCTGCTATTCTCGCTACACGTAGCTATTGACTAACATCGCCCCTTCTCAGCGTACAGTCACGATTTTATTTTTGTAAATGGCCTTCTCTCTATGTGCGAATTATGTAATGGTTAGAGGCCCAGGATTCTAATTCAGCGAGTCGAGTTTGAGTTCTGGTCGAAGTCGTTGCAATAGAAACCACAGTTTATTTCTGTAGATATTGAATAAACAAAAATGGACATGCACAAACGATCTTTCTCAGAAACGAGCGGCCATGTTGAAGATGAGAAATAATACTCATTCGAAACGTACCATCAATTCGATACAGCTTTGATGGTGATCTTGCGGCGAATCTTATAGGTGACCTTTTACCTCCTTCTTCCTCGGAGAGTGCGCAATACACCTGGTTATTCCAGGACTTTATATTCATATACTCCTAACTATTATCAGGATCGGCACACGACCACATCACATAGAAACACCAGTTACCGTAATACTAGCAACGTCGTGACTGGTTAGTACCTTGATTGATGACCACTTAGAAATGCTAGGCTGTAAGCTTGGATGTTCGTGTGGTGTAATGCTTCGGAATTATGAATCAGGAGAGCCCTGTTTCAATTCCAGTTGCGTTCGTTGTATTCACTTGCTCTCCTTTGGGAAATGTATAAATCTCATCTTCTCCTCCATCTATGGGTTAATTATTAAGACTTGTATCACTATATCATTATTATCTCAAAAAAATTCTTACAGTTGAAGAATATGTCCTTGCTTAAATGACGCGTTCAACGGAGAAGGGAAGTATTCAACACAAAATCGAAAATAGCTTTTTTTCACTGCAAATTATTCATTATATCATATTCAAGTATTTCCCCAAAAATTAGAGCCAATTACACAATATTTCAAGCTTAATTCAGGTTTATAGTTCGTAACAATTCGATGAGATGAGGTAACATTACCCGTAGATTTATCTACGGAATATCATTACATTATTGTTACATAATTATAATGAAATCATCAAGTTTTTTTTTGTCAAATATTTTTGGTCGTATATTAATTTAAAATATTCCTTTTTTACAGGTTTTATTTGAGAAATCGAATAAGATCATTGGTAAAGCACGTCAGGCTATATGACGGTTCCGTATAGGATACAGGTTTGATTCCTGTTAGAGGACGCATATTTTCTATGAAAATTTCTCGGACAGTCAAGCCGGTAAATGTCGTTAATACTGTTTATTATAAACAGAGCATTTACTTAAATATTTATATCTATAAAAAGAACGTATAAGCATAAAAAATGTCTTAAAATAAGATCATTCTAAATTTAAAAATTTCGCTATTGCCCATCAAAATGGTAGGAAGAAGCGATCTAAAAGCAATAATGGAAAAGGGAGGTAACAAAGCATAAATGAAATAGTTCTAGTTTGTTCAACTTAGGAAACTTAGCATTGAAGCCAAAATATTCTAAAATTCTGCCAATAACAAAGGAGAAAATAAAAAAATACCTAACAACAAATCGAATATAGCATCAAAATTTATATCATTTTTATTTAGTTGTTATATAAGTAAATAGATAATTGTCAACAATGTTTCCGTAAAAATTAATATTTCTTGTAATAGATTCTTAATAAGTATTCTTATTGTTATTATTTGACTTAAGTGTAAGGTAGTCCTGCATTTACAATTCCCTACGGCTAATCATGAAATGAAATGTTGATCAAAACTGCCTAAAACCTTTAAGCGCGTATTACTGCAAAATTACCAAATGTCAAATACGCCCCTCCTCCGCCGATCACGTCAAATAACCTACAAATGGTAGATAAACCATAAAAAATGAATCACTCAATATTCGCAGGATGGCATCCAACTGTTCAACATGCCTGTTCATTTACATCTAATAGTTGACGAGCCATACTTTGTTCTCCCTGAATATACAATTTAGATGTAAATTTTTTACGAAGAAAAGACTTAACGATTTTTGATAATGTAAAGTTATTAAATTCTAATTTACATGTGCAATTTGCTGTTTTTGTTTTGTTTTGTTTTTTTTTTACTTTGAAGACAAGAAAAAGAAAAAAAGCTAATATTCACTGATAGTGTTTGAATTCAATGCCGTACGTGATAGACACTTGGGCAATCATGTCTCTTTCGATTAATGACTAACGAGGCAGAAGCATTTCCCGCAGTAGACTGCCGTTTCTTTTTGTAGTAAACTGGTTGCCAACCATGGCTAGAGGACACAGTCTGTTTTACTATTCAACCCATAACTGGAGGAGAACAGATGAATTCGTATTTTTCTCAATGGTATTTGCGCATAGGTGAATGTAACAATCCCGACCGGAATTCAAAATCGTCTCTCCGAATGTTTGAATTAATGTTCCATAAAAACTGCACCAGATTATTTCTCTGTCCGAATTCCATAAATGTAACATTTTCATATTGTTTCTTTTTTTCTTTGTCGGCTGAATAGAACGACTGTGCCTCTGCAGAAGGGTACCCACCCCAATGAGGCGTCCTGGGTAAGACGATAAACTACATCCAACAGCAAGGCCTTTGATCAGGAGGTTTTGAGGAGCGTGGAGTCACCTCTTAATTCCTGGTTTTTCCACGACCACCCTGACCCGGTGTGGTAGCACCTGTTAGGCTCCCAACTATGGGTAAATAATTAACTCTCAAACTGAGGTCAATACGCTATGAAAGTGTAAAAATAGGTTTTAATATCGGCAATACATTTTTGTAAAAAATTATTACCAGCAATGAATTTTAAAGAAAAAAAATATTACCAGCAATACACTTTTGAAGGAAAAATATTACCAGCAATACATTTTTGAAAAAAGTATATTACCAGCAATAAAAATTTTGTCGCCATTAAATAACCCATTGATGTGTTGATATGCCGTAAAACAAAACAAAACAAACCAAACCTTTTCTCTTTGCATTTTATACATACTCGTCGTAACACTAGGTCGACATCTTCATTCATTTCGCGATTACTTTGTGAAACATACTCCGAGGGGATATTTCCCTTTCAATTAATCTCTTCTAGTCTAGGTCCAGCCATTATCTATCCTACATATCCTCATGATATGCACTTCTTACTCCTTGCCTTTACGCCTCTATAACAACCTAATTTAGTGATCCTCTATCCAGAGTGCCTCTTGGGCCTTTTATTGGTTGAACAATAGTATTCAACAGATAGGAATTCTACGAGTGGCGTGACGGTTATCCACACATATCTTGAAATCGGCGAGACGAGATCAAATTCCATACTAGTCTGTCAAGTTAATTTTCACTCAAATTCTCTTGTGAATAACGTACCCATCTATTCCCGAACCCCAGCTATGGGATAAATAGCTGGTTAGATTAATTGAGTGACAACCAGTCTAAGAGAAGGAAACACTGAATTCCGAACCGAGGAAGAGAGACCCGGTCCACCATCTTTTCCCAGAATTCATATCATTTCACAGCTAATAAAAGAAATGAAGCTGGGGAGAGCCACGGTAAAGCTCACCGTCCTAAAAGGGGAAAAGACTACTCTGAATTTAAAACCGTGGAAAAGTTAGTTGGAAATCACTTTGACTCACTTTCCCAAGAAGTCAGGGTAATTCAAAGACAATTAAGAGAAAGGAAATTGTGGAGAGCCATGATCCACTATGTCAGAGGTTGGCAGTGTCTTCGAGGAGGGCTATGATATCAAATGCACTGTAATAGATTGTCTCGACCTCAGACAGTTCAGTCTCAACGGTTGCCTTAAAAAAAAACAACGAATTTAATAAATAAAGTTCCTTATTTTACTGCAGAAATAACAAGATAATAATTAATACAATCAACAAAAGATGTAAATCGCTTATTATGGTTATAAGTTAGCGCGCAGGACAAACATCATTCCCGGGGTTTGCCGACCCCTGCTGTACGTCATGAAATCATACTTATTATAAAACCCAGGTTGTGTGTGTGTCTGTACGTTTATATATTGGATCGGATTTCCTACATTTTTCAACTGATTTCAACAAAACTTCACAGGACTACGTAAAATTACCTTGCGGTGGTTCTGACAGCGCCAAAAATTGGAAAAACACAATTGTTTTTGTACGAAATCAGTTTGAAAACACGATTAAGAGGCATCGCGTGAATGAAAGGGGGGCAACTCATATCGAGTTATACTTATAAAAACCAGGTTGTTTGTTTTGTGTGTGTGTGTGTGTGTGTGTGTGTGTGTGTGTGTGTGTGTGTGTGTGTTGGTTTATATATGGGATCAGTTTCCTACATTTTCAACCGATTTCAACAAAACTTCACTTTTTTTTTGGGGGTAGGTAGTGTTTCTTATTGTCTTGCACACTTTTTTTTTTTATTTTTTTACATTCAGAATGCTTTAAAAATTCCATTTACAAGACAATTGTTTATAATAAAATTCTCTTCAATCGGTAGACTCATAACGATTGAAAACAATGTTTTTGTTTGAGTTTGGGTTTGACCAATTCGTAAAAAAAAAAAAAAATTAAGACATGCGTGTCCGTCAACCTTAAACAATAATCTTTGTCAATTTTATTTTTTAGTCTTTATGATGATCGATACTTGATCTATCTCTTACTGTTACACCCCGGGCAACGCCTGGCTCTACTGCTAGTCATTAATAAAAAATAAAAATAATGATAGATATCATAAGGTTAAGCTATCCGAATATCTCAAATAAACTATTTCCATTGTTAATTTCTAACATTATCTTTTTATCACTAATCGGAGGGCTTCCTCAACTGATGTCAACGTCCGAATCGGTAGGGTTACTCCGATGGTAGTAAAAACCACGTTTCCGTGATCAAGGGCTTAGTTGAAGAACTATTGTAATGTACGGCAAGAAAGTGTTCAGGTTGACGGAGGACACTTAACTGATTGCACTCCCAACAACTACGGGGGGTAATAGACAGAAATAAGGGGGGAAAAGACGAGAGGGACCAAAAATGACACTGCCTCGGAAACCACTAAACAGATTCCACAAGACGTCATGTCTTGCCAACTTTCCAACTCTTTGATTCAAGCCAGTGAATTACTTCAGCTTAGGCTTTCATCCACTGGGACATGTGTTATTGAGGACCCAAAGAATTGTGAGTTCAATGCCTGACAATAGCAGAGGTTAACAAAAACTTGGAGAATTGAGTTACTAAAGAGAAATAACTGAAACTGAAACATCCAGAAAAGTTATGTCTATATTTCTGAGATGAGGTATTGTAACTCTTTATACTATTTACATTGTTTTGGACTATTGTCCTCATCTTTATTGTCAATACCTGGCCAAAGCAGAAGTGAATAAACACTTGGAGAATGAGTTACTAAGGGAAATAACTGCAACTGAGGTATCCAGAAAAGGCATGGAACGTGGAACTAGAACAATTTACCCAGGTGGACAAAATGAAGGGTTCGATTCGAAATTGCAACGCGTATCACCTGAAGAAGACCAGAGCGTACAACAGCCGAAATGTCATGAATATGGAAATAAAGATGAGGACAATAGTCTGAACAATGTAAATAGTGTAAATAAATATATATAATGATTATTATACATTGACTCTAACATTTCGACATACGTTGAATATTGTTTGTGTGTATGTGTGTGAGTGTGTGTGTGTGCGCGTGCGTGTGTGCGCGTTCGCGCGTATTTGTATAAAATGCAATAACTACACATAAAGAACATTTAAAAAGTTTATATCTTTGTACAAATGTAAACATAGAAGCAGTGGGTTTTTTTTGTTCTTTTTTGTTTTTTTGTTTTTGTTTTGTTTTGTTTTTTCAATCGATTATTTACAAAAATTCACTCAGTTATTTTGGGTTTAAAAATCAATTTTCTTCTTACCATTTTTTCCGATTAATTTGCAAGCCAGCGCCTTTTACAGCATCACTCCCGTCCCCAAACCCGCCATTGGTCTAAACATGTCAGTCTGCTTCCAAACCAAAATCTTCAAAATTAATCGAGAAACAGAGCGGGGGAGGGTGGGGGGGAGTATAAAAGAGAGGGAGAAGATGAAAAGTAATCAAGTTGTCAATGAGAGAGGGAAAAGAAAAGAAAACAGACAAGGTAGAAAAAGACAGAAGGGAATAAAGAAAGGAAAGAAAACGGATAGAGAGAAAGTGATAGAAAGAAAGAGACAAAACGGAAAGAATGAGAGAGGGGAAAGAAAGAATTTTGACGGTGATGGGGAAAGAGAGAGTGGAAAGAATGGCAGAGAGACACGGAGAGAAAGTTGTAGAGAAAGAAAGAGAGTGAGAGAAAATTGTGGTAAAGAAAGTAAGTCGTCGGTGAGAGAGGGAAAGTTGTGGAAAATAAAAAGAAAAAGACGAAACAGAAAAAGTCAGAACGGAATAGAAAAAAAAAAACGAATAGAGAGAAAGTGATAGAAAAAAAGAGAGAGGGGAAGAAACAAGAAAAAGAAAGAGTGTGAGAAAATCAGAGTCTTGAGGTCAGTAGTACACAAGTGCTGAGTGAAATAAACCCCGCCACAGAACAAAATTTTAAAAAGAAACATATTCGAACCGTCAAAGCGAAACTGAACACAATTCTTCAGTATTGACTTCATGAATAATTCAAATATTTAAATTAGAAATAAAATATTGTTATTCTGCTACGCTTTTTCTTTTTGATTTTTTTTCTTAATCTGTCTTTTCGCCTTCTTTCTTTTTCATGTTATTCTTTTATCCCCCCCCCGCCATCTTATTAGTCGTTTGTCTTTTCACTTTGTAATAATTATTAATTATTTTCTCCTCATCATTCGTGCCTAAACACGTCGGATATCATAAACTGTTTTTTATTGTCTCCCTAGCTTCTCTTTCTCATGATTTTATTTCTTTTAATGCTTTGATTAGTTTTTTCCTTCTTTATTTTTATTTACACTATCTTCCTTAGTTGAATCTTTCTTTTTTCTCTCATCATCTTTCTTTTAAATTTCTTTCATTCTCCTTCCTCTCATTATTTTTCTTTATTTTTAATTTATTTCATTCTTTTTCCTCTCATCATCTTTCTTTCTTTTAATTTCTGTCATTCTTTTTCCTGCCATTATCTTTCCTACTAATTTCTTTCATTCTCCTTCCTCTCATTATTTTTCTTTCTTTTTAATTTACTTCATTCATGTTCCTCTCATTATCTTTATTTCTTTTTAATTTATTTCATTCTTTTTCCTCTCATTATTTTTCTTTATAATTTCTTTCATTTTCCTTCCTATCATTATATTTCTTTTTTTAATTTCTTTCCTTCTTTTTCTCTCATTAGCTTTCTTTTTAATTTCTTTCATTCTCCTTCCTATCATTATTTTTGTTCCTTTTTAATATCTTTCCTTAATTTTTTCCCTCATTACCTTTCTTTTTAATTTCATTCATTCTTTTTCCTCTCATTATTTTTCTTTCTTTTTAGTTTATTTCATACTTTTTCCCTCATTATCTTTCTTTTTAATTTCTTTATTCTCCTTCCTCTCATTATTTTTCTTTCATTTTATTTTCTTTCATTCTCTTTCCTCTCATTATCTTTCTTTCTTTTAAATTTGTTTCATTCTTCTTCCTCTCATTCTTTTCCTTTTTAAATATTTCTTTCTTTTTTCTCTCGTTATCTTTCTTTATTTTTAATTTCTTTCTTTCTCCTTCCTCTCATTATTTTTCTTTCTTTTTAATTTCTTTCATCCTCTTTTCTCTCATTATTTTTCTTTCTTTTTAATTTCTTTCATCCTCTTTTCTCTCATTATTTTTCTTTCTTTTCAATTTCTTTCTTTCACCTTCCTCTCATTATCTTTCTTTCTTTTTAAATTATTTCATTGTTTTTCTCTCATTATCTTTCTTTTTAATTACTTTCATTCTCTTTTCTCTCATTATTTTTCTTTCTTTTTATTTTCTTTCTTTCTCCTTCTTCTCATTATCTTTCTTTCCCTACATTATTTTTCTTTCTTTTTGTTTCTTCTTTTTTTCCTCTCATTATTTTTTTAATTTCTTTCTTTTTTTCCTCTCAATTTTTCTTTCATTCTCTTTTCTCTCATTATTTTTCTTTCTTTTTAATTTCTTTCATTCTCTTTTTTTTTTCTTTCTTTTAATTTCTTTTTCTTTTATTTTCTTTTTCATTTAATCCTTCTTCTCTTTATCTTTCTTTTTCTTTTTAATTTAATTTCTTTCCTTCTTTTTTTTCTTCTTTTATTTTTTTTCTTTTTTCTTTTTCCTTCATTCTCTTTTTTCTCATTATTTTTTCTTTTTTCCTTTTTTTTTTTTTTTTTTTTTTCTTTTATTTTTCTCCTTCTTTTCTCATTATTTTTTTCTTTTTTTCCTCTCATTAATTTCTTTCATTTTTTCTTCCTTCTTTTTATTTTTTCTTTCTTTTTAATTTCTTTCATTCTTTTTTCTCTCATTATTTTTCTTTCTTTTTAATTTCTTTCCTTCTTTTTCCTCTCATTATCTTTCTTTCTTTTTAATTTCTTTCATCCTCTTTTCTCTTATTATTTTTTTTTCTTTTTAGCTTATTTCATTCTTTTTCCTCTTTCTTCTTTCTTAATTTCTTTTTTGTGTTAATCTTATTTTATTCTTCTTTCTTTTCCGTCTTCCATTTTCTTTTTATCTCTCCCTAACTTCTGTTACCTTACATTTCTTTTAATTCGTTCTTTTTTTTAAATTTTCATTCGTTTTCCTTCTTTTTGATGCACTTTTTTTTTCAAATCCTTCCTGTTTTCATTTTTCATGTCTATCTGTTTTTTTTTCTTTTTTCCGTCCCTCACCAGACATTAATTTCTTTCTTTCTGTCATCCTTCTAATTGTATTACCGCGTTTATTTCATTCATTTATTCTTGTTCTTTTATTCTCTTTTTCATTTATTCCTTATTCTATTTGCCCTTCCTTCTTTTTTTCATTCTTTCTTCCTTTTTCGTTAATTGATGTTATTTACTTCTTTCTCTTTTTCGTTCTTTTTCATTCGTTCCTTATTTTCTTTGTCCTTTCTCCATTTTTCATTCATTCTCTTTGTTTTCTTTTTCAGTAATTGTTGTGTATATCTCTTTCACTTTTTCACTCTTTTTCATTCGTTCCCTATTTCTTTTGCCCTTCCTACGTATTTTTCTTTTTCTTTCGTTCCTTATTATTTATTTGCCTTCCTCCATTTTTCATTCTTTCTTTCTTTTTCTTCCTTTTTCATTAATTGTTTTATACATGTTTTTTCTATTTTTTCATTCTTTTTCGTTCTTTTCTTATTTACTTTTCCCTTTCTGTATTTTTTTTCATTATTTCTTTCCAAATTTTTCTTTTTTGTTCTTTTTCATTCGTTCGTTATTTTTGTTTTCTCCTCATTTCTTTATTCTTTTTTTTCTTTATTCCCCTTCCAGACGCCGGTGTTGTTTAATAAGAATAGTTTACTTTTGGCTACAAATATGGAAGTTCCAATGAGGATCGAACTCAGTACCAAGTAATAATAATCAACGCGATTGACGCGCGAACTAATATTCCACGCAACGCCGTTGTTTATGACTTCTCTGTTGATTTCATTCTTGTTTCGCAGAGGAATTCTGTTTTATAACATTTTATTTATTAGCGTTAGTATTATGTTGTGCTAATTGACATGAGGATTACTACATTGTAAATTTATTGAATTTATTCTAATGATTCGCTCAGACCTCAGTTTAATATTAATTACAATCTCATTCTCAGTTTATTTTCTTCTCAAGTTTCTCGCATGAGAAGCTTACGTCCATATCACGATCAAACGGCGGTTATCACCCATTTGCCGAAGTTAAGCAACGCTGAGCCTGGTCAGTACCTAGATGGGTACTACATGGGAATATCAGGTGCTGCAAACTTGCATGTGTGAGTGGTGTAATGGTTTAGAATGAGATATAGAACAGCCGAGTTCGAATTCTGATAGGGTTCGTTACATTTAATTACGTGCAAATATTCTTGGGAAAGGATAATGTATCCATATTTCAATCTCCCAACTATTTAGTAAGACATTTTCTATGTGAGACATTATCTCTAAAATGTGCTAATATAATATTTACTTGTAAAAGAAAGAAATGATAATGCTTATAATTAAAAAAAAAATAAATGTTTAGGTTTTAATCTACAAAACGTTGATAAGCCGTAAAAACAAAAGAATCGATATTACATTTCTATTCCAGATTTAAGTGTATATTTATCTTTATTTATATTTTTTTTAAAACTCCCGCATTGTTTGGGGTCTCACTCCAAAAAATGCTGGGGTGCCACTGGTTCGCAGTGAGGTGGGGGGGGGTACATAGAGAGACGGCGAGAGAAAATAATTGTGTATAGGAGGAATGGGGAAAGGACAAACGATGAAGGGTGTTCAAGACATCAGAACATGGTGATTTATGTTGTATTTAACTTTTTGAAGAGTGTAGTTATCAGGGAAACAAGTAGACGGAAGGGAGTTCCACATCCGGGAAGTGCGAGAAAAGAAGCTGTTAGAGTAGAAGTGGCGGTTACATTTAACTATTTCAATGGTAAATGGGTGGAACCTAGACAGAACAGTTACCATGAAAATATTTGTCAGAGGGGAGCCACAATGTGAGAAAATGACTGAAGTGAAGTTGTCAAGTCAGGATCAATTACACTGCAGATCCTTCTTTGGATTTTGTCAAGAATTTTGAGATGTACAGCAGGAGCACCAGACCAGATATGGAAACAGTATTCAATGCACGGACGAATGGTAGATTTATAGACATATAAGATGGACTCTGAGAAGAAAAAAAACCCCATCTGGTACGACACAGTGACCCAACTTTCCTTGCAGTAGATGCAGCTATTGATTCGATGTATATAGTGAAAACCCATATCTGAGTAGACGCTCCGTTTTTATATCGTTTTAAACAGTTTTTTATTACCGTCAACCAACCTAAATATTCAAGAATTGTTATTAATAAAAAAAAAAAAAGATGCGAATCCGGAAAAGACTAACCTTCGTATTCAAGACATTTGTTAATATATATATATATATATATATATATATATATATATAGACTTTTTAATATATATATATATATATATATATATATATATATATATATATATATATATATATATATACAAATATATATATATATATAAATATAGATAACTATACTCGTTTCGAAAAAACCCTCGAATTTTTGATTTGCCAATAATCAAATCAATCTCGAGGAAAAAAAGTTTTAAAAAGAAAGAGCTAGAAACATGAAAGTCTGTCGAAAAAAAATCGCACAGATTCAGGTTTGAAGCCCAAAAAAAACCCTGATACGAGTAAACAACTAAATAACAAAAAAGAGCTCAATACAACCGTAGAGCAGACCTAGATAAACCTAGTGAGCCAGACAAACCTACCTAGGTTTCTCTGGCTTACTAGGTGTATATATATATATATATATATATATATATATATATATATATATATATATATATATAAACTATGGACCTAAAGAGCCACTCCAACTTACCTGACGAT